CTGGGCGGCCTGCCTGGGCCTCTCGCTGGTGGACGTGTGCTACCGCGAGGTGGTGCCGGCGCCCTCCTTCGGGGGCCGGCTGTGCCTCCGCGCCTTCCACCCGGACAGCTCGGACCGCTGGCGCCTGGCGCTGCAGGCGCTGGACGTGGCGCTGGGCTTCGCCGCGCCCCTGCTGGTCATGCTCTACTGCTACGCCCGGATCTTCCGCTCCCTGTGCCTGGCGTCCCGGCGCCAGCGCCAGCGCTCCCTGCGGCTCATCGTCTCCGTCGTGGCCGCCTTCCTGCTCACCTGGGCGCCCTACAACGCCTTCCTGCTGGCCGACAGCCTGCTGCGCCTGGAGCTGCTGCCCGCCAGCTGCCAGCTGGAGGCCGTGCTGGACGTGGGCACGCTGGCCGCCGAGAGCCTGGGCCTGGCGCACTGCGCCGTCAACCCCCTGCTCTACGCCTTCGTGGGCGTCAAGTTCCGCCGAGAGCTGGGGCGCATGTGCAAGGGCGCCCTGGGGGGCCGGGGGGCCGGGGGCCGGCGGTGGGGTCACAGGGGCCGAGGGGGGCACAAGTCCCGCAGGGTCACGGGGTCCATGACCTCAGACAGCGAGACGTCCAGCACCTACTACTCTGTGGTGATGTGAGAGGAGAGGAGAACGGGAGAGAGAGAGAGGAGCAGGAGAAGGAGAGGAGGAAGGGAGAGGGAGAGGAGGGGGGGGAGGAGAACGAGAGAGGGAGAGGAGGGAGAGAGGAGAAGAGAGATTGGAGGAGAGTAAGAGAGGAGTAGGAGAAGGAGAGGAAAAAAAGGGAGGGGAGACAGGAGAGAGGGAGAGGAGCAGGTGGAGAGATCGGAAGAGACGTGGGATGGAGAAAGGAGAAAACTGAGGTTGAGAAGGAGTGTCTTGTAAATACAGAATGAATGAGTGAATTAAAAGTATTTGAATTTATCCTGAAGGGGAAATGATTTCTGCTAAATTGTTAGTTTAGGAGTTTTGTATATTTTAACTAAGGTACTTAAAGAGAAATAAAAGATATTTTCTACAATTTAAAAAATGTGTCAGTGTGTCTGTGTGTCTGCAAGTCCCTGTTTCTACAAGTGAAACTAACAACATCCTGTGGTGAAGGTCAGAAACTTGTCCAGAATCTCAGGCTCTGAGCTGAACAGATTTAAATTTGCTTTGTTTTAATTTTGCAATTTCCTTAGCGGTGAAATATCTGCAGCTCCCAACCGCAGCGCCTCAAGGTGAAATTCTCCTCTCGTCAGCACTTGTGCAGCTGGGGCAGGCTGGGCTGTAACACCGCATTGACGCAGGACTGGAGAAAGAGCTCTGTGTGTCCCTGTGATTGTGTGGGAGTGCGAGTGTGCGTGTGAGTGTGTGAGAGGGAGGGCAGGCGTGTGTCTGGCTATTTCTGTGAGTGTGTCTGTGTGAGAGTGTAGGTGTGTGCTTGGGTATTTCTGTGAGTGTGTCTGTGTGTATACTGGGTGTGTCTGTGTGAGAGTGTAGGTGTGTGAGAGAGTGCAGGCATGTGTCTGGGTATTTCTGTGAGTGTGTGTGAGAGTGTAGGTGTGTGTGAGGGTGTAGGTGTGTGTATAACTGTGTGTGGGAGAGTGTGTGCATGTATTTCTGACTGTGTGTGTGAGAGTAGGTGACTGAGACTGTACGTCTTTGTGAAATGTTTACAGCTCAGATAAATTCCAGACATTTGAAACGAAAGGTTTTATTGTGAGATGTACTGTTTCCATTCACAGTTACGTGAGAAAAACGAATACTTTTTTCCGTTAGAAAGAATTTCACTGCACCGCTGCTGCAATACGGCCCTCCCACCGCAAGAGGGCAGAGACCCGCTCTGTTCGGCTTCAATCGTGTTTTAAATCAATGTTGTGATTTTTAAAATGAGCGAAACTCACTTAAAACATCAGTAATTCGCACACAGTGGGGAAAAGCAAAATTGGACCCAATTTTTCTGAGAAAAGAC